TAAAATAAAATAAAATAAAATAAAATAAAATAAAAACAATGTTATACAGAGATGGTGAATGGCCGGTACCATTGATTTATTATTTATTTATACCATTTATTTCTTGCATTTATTATTTTTATAAATAACTCAAGGTGGTGAACATCTCTAGTACAGCTTCTTCTTTCTATTTTCCCCACAAGGACAACCCTGTTGAGGAGAGGGGAGAGAGAGTAATTGGCCCAGTCACCTAGCTGGTTTTCATGCCTAAGGTGTGATGATTTAACTTCTATAGGAAGAATATTCTAAGATTATTCCAGTTGTACTACACACACACACATACACACACACACAACCTGAAACCCTAAAACTACATTTTTCATTTAAAAATATTTTACTTTTCTACGAGTGAATGTAACTATAATTAATTCATGACGTAAACTTTTAAGTTAACTGCTTCAAATAACTTTAAGGATTTTATAACTATAGTAAACTGTTTATAATATATTTCTTGGCATTTGTAGCAGAAAATAAATTCACACCTTGAATTGCCTGAATTAAACCTAATTGATTTGGCTCACAGGAGGAATTACGTATGGGAGTCTCACTTTGAAAATTTATGAAGACCTGGGCTACAGCTGCATGCAAACAAAATGAGAAAACAGAGGTTGGGCGAATAGATTTTGCTGTTTAATATCAGCCTTCATTTTGGAAAGATCTCTAAACAGAAAACTAATTGAACAGGAAACAGAACCGCTATCCCTGATGAGCAATTATTCATTGAAGTGATTTGTTTCAAAATCTATAAACATTCACAGTTGGTATTCTTGCCTTTTTATGGCATATTATAGCTTTCTTATTGCCGCATCCTGTTCTCTCTGTTCTCCAATTCTAAGAGACCTGAATGCCTTGAATAATTGAGATGATCTTCAATAGATTTCAAATATTACTATAACTGGAATCAGATTTATATTCATATGTTCTGTTACATAGGAATTGATCTGCTTGTTTTTACAGAGGCATCAGAAGGATATTATTATCAAGATATCATGATAAGCAAATAAATGACTGATTTTACCATAATAGAGTTTGTGAGCAGATAGTCAATCCATAGATTCATCTGGGGATTTAGTCCACAGATTGCATCCAGTAAATTCACCCTTTTAGAATTAGGGTTTTTCTATTGACAAGACTTGAGACTGAGTCTCTTTGTCCAAGGTAAATGGTAATTTGTTGGAGGTAGTTAGAAATAGTTTTCTTTGAAAGTTCAAACCTCTTTTATATTAATTGATTCACATTGATGCACAGAACATGAAGACATGTCCGGCTGGAGTAATATGGAAAGTGAAATCCAACATAACTGGAAAATCTACAGCCTTTCAGATATCCATGGAGATTCTCAGTCATTCAAGTCATGGTTGTTCCAAAGGTGCTTTTTCAAGAGGAAACTCAGCTTTCTTGTTTTTCTTTGAAGACATTTTGCTTTTCATCCAAGAAGCTTCTTCAGCTCTCACTGGATGGTGGGAAATGGAAGAGTGTATATTACTTGAAAACAGTTGGTCATTTGCATTCTTTTAGAGAGTTGTTGAAGCCGCTCCTTCCAGCAGCTGCTTCTTGGCTTGTCAATTTAAAGTGATGGCGTCTTTCCCCCCCGCTTCTTCCTTCTTCTTTGCCAAGTGATCTCCTGGCTGAGAAGCAAGTGGTGATTTTTTCTTTCTAGCCGATCAGTTGGGAGGCTTCTTGGCTTCTCAATTTAAAGCAACGGTCTTGTTTTTTTTCTCTTCTTTGTCAAATGAGCCCTGATTTTTTCTTTCTAGCCGATCAGCTGGGAGGCAGGAGGCAGCAAATAGATTGGGGGGTGGGGCCAGGCAGAGGTGGTATTTACCGGTTCTCCGAACTACTCAAAATTTCCACTACTGGTTTGCAAAAATCGGGGAGAACTGGTAGCAGCCCATCACTGCTGTGAAGGGACACAGAACAGAAAACATCTTACAGAAAGCACAGCTCCACAACAGCAGTTCCAAGAAGGCTCCACACCGATTTGCACTATTCAGGTGACTCTGAGGACACAGACAAATCCTCAAGTGTCCTCAATGACTGTCTAAAAGAATGCAAATGACCAGCTAGTCTGCAAGGAATATACCGTAAATCTTTTCATTTCCTACCATCCAGTCAGAGCTGAAGAATCTTCTTTGATGAGAAGCGAAACGTCTTCAAAGAAAAACAAGTAAGTCCAGTTACCTCTTGAAAAAGCACCTTTGGGACAGCCTTTCAGATAGATTGCCACTATGGAAATTAATTCTATATACATTCTCCAATTTTTCTTGGGTTCCAATTGCTTTCACTGGACTGCATTATTGGTGAAAGCAAAGTGCTTATGAACTTTGTTTTTCACATCTTGGTGTATGTGCAGTGGAAAGAACAACAACAAAACAAAACAAAACAAAACAAAAAACCAACAACAGAATTCCTGTTCTATATGTGCTACCAGATTTGGACTGCAAAAATCCAGACAGTCAGAAGGTGGCAGCAAAGAATTAGAGTTTTATGCATGTCTTTACTGCTATCTATTGGTGATCCAGTTTTTACAACTCAGATATGATTTCCAAAAAAATTGAGAATAATTTAAAATACACGTTGAGTGGGAAAGGAAGACAGAATAAGGTCTTCTTACAATATTTGTAAAACACACTCTTTTTCTCAAATTTTTATGGTGGTTTGGCCAATTTTGCTCCTATAAAATGCAATGAAGGCCGGGTCCTTATTATTATTCTTGTTCTTGTTGTCATTATTGCCCTGACAATTATTCCATTACTCAACTGTCTCTCATGGCTGCATGTGCTGAGTGCAGGTACAAATACAAAGCCAAGTAAATTCATATAGCTAAGAGGTAACTGGGGAATGAAAGACAAGCAACCAATTTACATACTCCTTGGCCACCTTGTAACCAAGATACACTCAGCACTGTAACCACGAGAAGTTCAGCAAATTTCTCCAGCACATCACTCAAAAGTAAAGGCTCTTTTCCAAGTTCACAGCAAGTTTCATTCTTGTGCTTCTGGGTGGTGTTAGTTGGAAAAAATGCATGCATGATCCTGACAGCCATCTCTCTTTTTGCAGCATCAAGACATTAAGAAAAATGTCATGAAACTGCATCTGATTGAATCATACTTTCCTTATATTTCTAATCTTAAACCATTTTAGGCTATTTTATTCATGACTCCCAAACTAAATAATTTATAATTTGATACTGTCTGATCCTAGATTTGCAGGGAAGAGGAAAGACTCAGACTGGGGACCTTCAGCATGCAAACTTTGTGCTGTTTAGAGTAATGGCATTTTCCTTCTATGTGGCAATTTCACTTTGTGGTCCTATGGAATTCTTCCTGTCAGTCTCCTTTTCCCATGTGAATTTAGCATCCACATGAAATGGGTAGTTTCATCAATCAGTAGGACATGCAGCCTACTTGTTTTTGCAAGAAGACGAAGCTCCTTGAATAGACTGAAGGAAGCTCAAAGAGTTGAGCCAGACAAGAAAAAAAACGATCACTGTTAGTTATTCAGACTAAATGAGCAACATTCAAACTATTTCTGAAGCAACTGCACTGCCATGAAGAATCAACTTCACCTCTTTGAGAACAACTTTGAAAACCCGATCACAGTAATTAGCTGCTGAAAAAGGCTTTACTGTATGATGTGACTTTTAACAATTTAGGCTGGTGATCCACATTCCTCCTTTCTGGATATTGGCTGCAGCACTTCTGGATCTTTTGATGACTATTTGGATCATTCCTAGAATGGCCCAAAACAGAGTTGACAATAACTGGTATAGAATGATGACTTTGGCAATGTTATCAAGAGTGCTGGCTTGATTTGAAGGGCTATAAAACAAGTAACAGATTGGGAACATGGCACCATCCTTCCATTTACCCCAAAATCATTTTCAGAATCTTCACATGTACTGTATATTTTCTTTAAGTGTATGGTTTTTCAATTTGCTTTCAATACTAAGCCTTCAATACAGAGGTTTTTAAAGTCTCTGTTCTTGTAATCACTTAAACAGCTTTCTTTTTTTTGGCTGGCTGGCTGGATGGATGCATTGCATCAATATTACATCATGTATTCTTCTATTTTATCAACCTTTTCTTTAAACTCTAAGAATGAGATGGGGCAGTACCTAAATTTGATAAATTAGTTTTTAAAAAGACTACTTTTATCGTGCTGACTTTGCTTTTTCTTTCTGTCTTCGGGTTGTTTTTTTTTTTTTACTGGAGTTTAAAAGTCTTACATATTTTTATTCTGAGGATTTTTTTTTTAATGATGCCTAGAAAACCGATTGATAAATTTGCACATCCAAACAATCAATAAATGAGCAAATTAACAAAACCCTCCTGGTTTTTATTATATACTAGTATCTGAGAACCAGATATTGTTCATAAACCCAACAATATGAGCAAAAGTGTGATCCATTGGTTTAGAGCAGTGGCCCCCAAGCTTTGCTGCCCAGGGAGCGAGGAGAGAACCGGCCCAGTATGCAGGTGCACCTGCAGCTCAACTTCAACGCGAGCAGCGGGCTGGTACGAACGTGCATGTGTACGCAGCTCAACTTATGCAAGTTGAGCTGTGCTCGCATGTGCATGGGTGCTGGTCTGCCGCTTGTGCAAATCAAGCTCACGCGCATGTGTGCATATGGACCTCCTGCTTGTGGGACCCAGTTCCGAATAGGCCTCGGCCCGGTGGTGGGCTGCAGCCTGGGGTTTGGGGACCCCTGGTTTAGAGTATAGAGTGGGTATAAATGGGTATAAAGATTGAAGTCGTTAGCCCAGAAAGCTCACTGACTAATTTAGTCCAAGGTTTGTTGTGAAGTTAAAAATGTGACAATCCTGCATCTTTCCCCCCCCACTAAGCTCTCTTGCAGAACAAACTTGTTAAATTAGCTCAAGTATTCTTATAACCCAAATCTCTTAAGAAAAAGGAAAATCCCTTATCTCTTTGGACAGAAAGTCACAGCAACAACAGGGCTTTGGGAAGAACATTTTATTGCTAAGCATATTCTTGAACAAAAAGGCAATTATGAAAAGAAAAGAATCGGGGGAAAAAAAGAAAGGATGGAGAGAAGAAAGGAAACAAAAGTGAGAGATAACAGCACAATAACGTTAACAAAAATCTTCACAGTTCTGTTCAGAAAATAATAGTGAAATGAGAGAAGCTTCCAGACAGAAATGCACATGTTCCCCAAAATCTGTCCCAAACAAACAGAGAGAAGAAAAGAAAAGTGGGTTTTCCTAAAGAAAAAGAAAAAAGCAGAAAATCATTTCACAAGACTCCAAGAACAGCAGCAATCTTTTACAGACATCAAGATATAATCAACTCCATATATGTTTGGCCAGTGAGGCTGTTGAAAGTCATTCTTTCACCTTTTAAAAACCAGTCTTTCTCTCTCTCTTTCTTTCTTTCTTACTCTGTTGTAGTGTAAAAAAATTAAAAATTAAACCAAAGAAAACAAAACAAACCTCACACACACCAAAAAGATTTGTTAGCCAGGTAAGCCTCTTCTCAAAGCATATGAGAAGGCTGCCTTCTTTTTATTGTTCCCATGTGCGTGTGTGCATTAGATAACACGTCTTCAAAGATTCATGCGACTTATAAACACCAGCAAGAGTAGATTTCTAAACCTAAACAGCTGATTAGATTTCATCTGTACACAGGAAAATTGTACATTTTTTTTAATTTGCCAGAGTCCTCTAAGTTTTATGTTTTCCCTGTTTCTATCAATCTCGCTGTCTTCCTTGTTTGATTTTATTTATTATTGTTATTTTTTGCACATGATATTTGTGGCCAGAAAACACCAGTTGATTATTTTTACTGTACAGTAAGTTGCTCTTTAAAAAAAATGGAAGAGATTAAAAAAAAAGAAAGAAAAAGAAACAATCCAACAATTAAGTACACTGAATATAATCAACAACTCAATGAAATCTCAGAGCATTTTATGTACATTAGGGTACCCATCTAGAAATTACACCAGCCAAAAAAAAAAATTGTAGTAAAATATGTAAACAAAAAATTATTCTTATCTGAAAATTGTTTTTCTTTTTGACACAGGTAACTGTGACAAGGTTAAAATGCACACTCTGTTCACATTTTTAAAATTTAGATTTTTGCTGTTTTGTAAAAACATTTTTTCTTTACAACAGTCTCATTTCATATTAAGATTTTAACAGCATTTCAGTTCCAGTCATCCCATCAAACATACCATGATAAATATATCTGTGTCTGTATATATATATATATATTTATATTTATTTATTTATATATATATTATACTATTAATAAGCTCCTTTATTTTTTCTGTGTGTCATAAGGACTTTTTAAATTTATCTTCTTTCATATAAAAGTCAAGGGATAGGGAGCATAGGGCAAATGGAAGGACAGCGAATCAAAAATGTCAATCTACAAAATTAAATTGTTACATATGAAACATACCATCATGGTTCTGTTTTGTTTTTAAAGCACAGTCCCTATTTTGAATTCCTCCGTGACATTTTTTGGCTTGTGTGACATGTGTTTTTGTCACAAGACAAACTCCATAATCTTTCTAAAGACTTTATTCAGTTGATCACTACTCTTTGCATTCATACAATGTCCTCAGCCAAAGAACCAGACAATGGCTCCCTTATTTATGCTTGGACTATTCAATTGGAAATAATTACTTTTGGTTTGATTTTGATGTTGTTATTTTTTCCCCATAGTTGAGCAAATGGTAGTCAGTCATGGCTAGGGGTTTCTAGTCAAAGAAGAAACTGTTATCCTCTTATGACTTTGCTTACAAATAACTAGAGCCAGTATCTGGGATTGTTCAATTTCCCATGACCATCATTTTCGGCATGATCACCATCACTGCCTCTTCCTCACCTTTCTTTTTTATGTTAACAACTTACTGCAGACAACAGATTCAAGAGACAACACAACCTGATATGTAGAGCAAACACTGTGGATAGAACTTGAGTTCATATATGGCAACAGTCTTTATTTAGTATATTTTCCCCAAGATTTCTTCTTGACTTATGTCCTGGCTCATTCTCCCAAAACCTCTCACAGAAAATGAAAAAAACTCAGACAAAAAATATAATGAAAACCCCAAACCATTTTTTATTATTAGTATTACTATTTCTTTCCCCCTCACATCTTGAAAAATGATACTCAGGCTGGACATGGCCAGATCAGTTGTTCTGTTTTGTTTCTAACATTTCCACTTTTTTTCTTTTTCTGTTTTTTTTTGTTATTTTTTAAAATAATAAACTGAAAAAAAATAGAGTACAGTCAAAGATTGTGAACATCATTAAAGACTCACTTGGCGATACGAAACAAGTAAGCCGTGAAGTCTTCTGCCCTTGCAGAACAGTTCAGCTGAGGAGGAACTCGGAAGGCTTTTAAGTCTGCCAACATGGATATGCTGGGGAGGCCTTCTTCTGAACACTATATGTGCTTTATAATACAGGAGGGCAGAGTTTGGGGACTCCAAGCAGTGATTTGAAAACTTAGCAGTCAACGACTGAAATGTTTATGCTCAACATTGGTTTTAAACCGCAGACGGTTTCTCCCAATCTCGTTGGCTGCAACAGTTTTGGTTCAGTTATAGCTCATTCAATATTTATATATTTATATATAAATATATTTTTTTGTTTTTAAACATAATATTCTTTGTCCTTGTTTTTCTGTTTCTTGTGGCCGCTCTTTGAACTCTGCTGCTTCTCCTTCATGAGCGTGCCATTGCTCTGGGCTGAGTTGCTGATGTAGTTACGCGTCTCATCCACCTGATAGGACCCTTCGTCCCTGTTCCTGTACTTGTACATGGCATACAGGAGGATCAGGATGCAGAGGGCAGCAGCAGCTACAATGCCGACGACCATTCCCGTTGTGCTGCTCGACTCACGGACCACCTCTGAGGCCCCCGGAACCCGTCTGATTCCTGGCTCCGTGGGGTTTGCTGTGGGCACATTACGGAACATGGGGGAAGTTATTAGCGGGCTCTTCAGTTTTGTGCTGTCTAGCTCATAGGCAGTGGGCAACGGAAGCAAGACTATATCAGGCTGGGGTTTGAGGTCACGGTTATTCATGTTGCCAGCTGGCAATTTGGGCACCATCCCAGTCGAGGACGAAGCTGTGGAGCGGATCAGCTCAGGGGACAAAGCTGTGATAGTAGTCCTACCAGTTTCGGAGACTTTGTTAGGTCTAAAGTCCTTGGCTTCCCACTTGGGTGCGTGTGCTTTGTAGCCACCTTCGAAGATTGAAGTGGAAAGACTTTTATCTGTTACCAAGGAGAAGGTGGTGTAAAAATCTTCATCATCAGTAGGGGGTAGGTTAGAGTCAAAAGTTTCCCCTGAGCCATACCCAGATATCACCAAGCCATCATCATCACAACCATCGCTGCCTTGGTCCGACAAGCAAGGTAACCCCGCCTCAGAGGTCATGGACAGGGAATCTTTGGTGGTCTCAATAATGGTGAGGAGGGGACGGAAGGTAGTGGGGAGTGTAATGAAAGGTGCACGAGTAGTAATAGGAGGGATATCTAAAGGGTCTTCTACAAGAAGAGGGATAACTAATTCACCTCCTGGACAGAAGAAAAGAAAAAAGGAAAAGGTTAGTTCATCTTGAATGCAATGCAAGATGTGATATTCACCTCACTGTCTCAAAACCTGAGTGTATAAACCTGCACATATACGTGGACAGCTGCATGAAACTAGCAGTTTCTCTCTCAACAAAAGGGCTCTACATTTTTGTAAATATACTCCCCTCCCCCAATATTTGGATGTAGTTTCCCTCCCTTGCAACTTTTCAAAGACAGGATGTATTTAATTGGTTGTTGAAGATACTCTCAGACTGACTTGCTGAATACTAACATCATATATTTCTTCTGTTCAATGTAATATTTGAAGACTTTTCAGTAAATGCATGTTTCATTATAATAGCTAGTTAGTTAGAATTATCTTCACGCTTTTGTTTTAATTCACAACATATGAAAGATTTTAAAAGTAAAATGTCCCTCCACTCATGCTAACTTCTTGAAGACTCCATGAACATATCTGTGCAATTTATTAGCAGCATTACAGAAGAAGCTTGATATTGGCCTATTTGGGGACATCTGTTAATTTTCTTGTCTATCCAATAGTCTTTGGAGTCCGAAAAGATCCCAATACAAATATGAACTGAGCCTTGTTTACACCCAAGCTATTTTAAGGTTAACTATATCACAACTCAGGCCATTAAAAGGCTATCTCACTTTTAAAATTTAGAATTGATCAAGTGAAGAAGCAAACAAAAAGATACCAATCAGGTGCACTTTAAGATCAGTGTGTAACTCAAATAACTGCAATTAGTCAAATAAAATGTCCATTCACATCTCCCAAGAACCTGGAAGGTTGCATCCATTTAAAAATGCTCCATGTAGCCAAATGGAAATTCTTCTACCATCGCTGCTACTTCTTTCATAATCAGGGCTGCATAGAATTTGTTGGATATGTTGGATATTCTTGTTGAAGAAAAGAATGTGTGTACTAATAAATTGTTAGAAGAAGGTAAAGGGGCAAGATTGATCTTTAAGAGTGACCAAAAAATAATCAGCAATACCTATATACTTCAAATAAATTTAAATCTTCAGAATGAACTGCATCCTAAGAAATTAAAGGAATTCAACTGTCTGACCAAAGTTTTATGAAATAGCTTGAAAAATCCTAGAAAATGGATTTAAATCAGATGGGCCAAAAAAAGGAAAAAGAAGCTTCCAGGGAATGATAAAAATGTCCTGGCAGATTCTTGTGTGGATCATAAAGGGATTGATCTGAAAGCAGCATGTGGTGATTACCAGATGCGCTATATCTTGATTTCTGCAAAACCTTTGACCAAGCAAGGAAATCTTAATTTGGAACAGGGGTGGGCTGCTGGAGTTCGCAGGGGTTCGGGAGAATCTCTAGTTAAGATTCTGTGCAGTTCAGAGAACCCCCAAATCCCACTCCTGGCTGGCCCCTCCCACCCCACCCCTCCCAGGAGTCCCCACATGGCCCGCTTTGGATGCAGGTAAGGGCAGGGCATGCACGGAGGCTTGGGTAGGGTGAAAAACAGGCCTACCGGAAGTTCAGGAAGGACAGAAACAGGCCCATTACCGGCCTCCAGAGGGCCTCCGGAGCCTTGGGAAGGCCATTTTCACCCTCCTGAAGGCTCAAGGAAAACCTCTGGAGACCAGGGAGGGCAAAAAGGCCCCCCCACATCATGGTGCAGGAAGCCAACTAGGCATGGCCCACCATGGCCATGCCTACCCAGCAACCGGGCAGAGAACCCCAGCTAAAATTTTTGAAGCCCACCCGATTTGAAATACTTGTAACCAATGCAAATTGGACACCCCAACCTAGTATCATCAATAAAATTCAACTGAAACAAATGTACTGTATGTTAAGCTATTCTCAATTAACTTGCTCCACTGATTCAAAGGCACTAAATTCTCAGTAACCTTAATTGGTTGGGTGTGCAGTAATGACATGATTTACATAATATTGTTTTTTGAGAGGGAAGGAGATATACCCAGTATGTCACTCAGTACATAACTGAGCTTTCCTAGTTCAAAATATTTAAATCCAACTAGAAATAGTCTATAAAGCAAATGGTATTGTTTTCGAAGAGAACATATATTTTTCCTTGCTGAAAATGCAGTAATCATATGCAAAGAAGCTATTTTGGAACTGCTGGAAAAGCTTAGTTCTTAACAGTGGAGGTTCTTGTTTGAATCTTCCTATACTGAGCAATTATTTCATTTAATTGCTGCTATTGTTTCAACCTATTATTATCTCTTTTTGATTTTCATTGCTGCCCAGATAGTTAGTCTATTGTTAAGAATTGACAAACTTTCTCAATTTGCCAAAAAGTCATTTTCTTTCATTTGAGCTTCACTGCTGGTGAATTCATTAATCTATCCATGTAGTTTTCTCATATTCTATAGCACTACAAAGGGGCTTGCTATTGTTTTCTGGAATATTTTTCAATTTTTCAGTCTAGTCTACAGCTCTGGGAGTTTCCCACCCTATGTACTAATCAATTCTAGGTCTCCTTAACTTCCAGAGCCAGAAAAAGTCAACTTGGTACCCTCATTTGTTTAGATCCTTAGATTTATATACAGGCATTTATATACAGGGAAAGTTAACATGGAATCAAGCAATGTTTTGACTCCTGAAAGTTCCCGAGCATTATTCAAGGTCTATTGAGAATGCAATTTAGGCAGCATTATATAATGGCATTTATCTTTCCTTAATTATGCCATCTGTGATTTAGGATTGAAGTTTTAAGATTGTGAGTTCTTAATTGCCTGTCTAAAGCATCTGAAGTGCCTTTGTTATGAAACTTTCTGATTTTTATAAAGAATTTAGTGCACAGCCGAAATGTCACCTACCCAAGGCTGGTGGGAAAGACAACTCTTCTTTTTTAGACTTAGAATAGAGTTTGGAAACCTTGGCTGTTTTGCAATAAGGTGCATGGATATATCTCTTTCTAATCACAAGATGATTGTAAGATTCTGATCTAAAAAATCAAAAATTTCATTTTAACGGTTGATTTCATTTCAGTGTGCTATATTATTAATAGCTATTTTTTCTTTTATCTTGTCATTGATGCTTACAGTCAGAGAACTAGCTTGACAGGCAAAAAAGAGAGGCCAGTTTCGTAATAATTCAGGTTGGCAGAGTGGGGGAGAATATTGGAGTTGCACTAATGTAGAGAAAGAATGTCTAAAAGTAATTTTATAAAATTTGGTAACATCATAGCAGCCAAAGCAGGGGCAAGTTCAAGAGATTTTCATGATGTCTGGGGAACTGTAATGGGCTACAATAACTTTGGGAAACAAGAAAAATAGTCATAGCCTATAAAATGGTCTGATATATAAAATCTGACTCCAAAGGAGGGAAGAGGGAAAGTGTCTCAAAAGAGTCTCCAGATCAGGGGTCTCCAACCTTGGCAACTTTAAGACTTGTGGACTTCAACTCCTAGAATTGAAGCAAATCTGGCTGAGGAATTCTGGGAGTTGAAATTCACAAGTCTTAAAGTTGCCAAGGTTGGAGACTACTGCTCTAGAAAGTAAAGGGAGCGGAGCAGGAAAAATGCTTTCAGACTTGCAAAATTCTGTTACTGCACCCTGTACTCATGTTTTTGGTTTCCTGCCTGGACTACCTCAAAGGACTGAGAGGCACTCAGGACAAGGAAACCAAGACCAAAATGATGCTGGGAGATACTGAATTGAATATTTTTCTTTTAATTTATTATTTATTTATTTTTATTCTACTTTATAGCAACTCAAGTTCATGAACGTATCTAATACTCTTTCCTCCTCCAATTTCCTCCACAAGAACACTGCGTTGTGAGTTAGGCTGAGAGAGAGTTGACTGGCCTAAAGTCATCCAGCCGGCTTTCATATCTAAGGTGGACTAGCATTCACAATCTCCTGGTTTCTAGGCTGCCATCTTCACCACTGCACAAAACTTGCTCTCCATATGTTACGTTTTGGTTAAGGATCCAATGAATTCTCTATATCTATAGAAACTTATTCAAATTCCCATTTTAATGCAGGTCTTTGTATGGCATGGGTGTCAAACTCATGGCATCGCGTTGCCGTCACGTGACATTTCGTGACTTTTTTCCCTTTGCGGAGCTGGTGTGCATGTGGCCTGTGTGTGATGCATCCAGACCATGGGCCACCAGTTTGACACCCTTGTTAAATGTATAGTAAGAAGAGAGATGTGATTTCCAAGTACTTGGTTAGGAAGGGGAATGCTTATGAATGCCAAATGCACCAGTTTACCTCCTGGCCTCAGAAGTATTGTCAATACATTTTTATGTACTTCATGTGACTCATCTATACTGACCAATCTAATATGTTCAGTTCCTATTATTCTGCTCATTATTCTGCCTATTGCTTATTTATTCAGAATATGAATTCCCAAACTCAAAGGAATAGCGAGAAAATCTAAAGGCAGCCCACATAAATATTGAGTAGCTGAATCAAGCTACTAATTAAAAATTGCTGGATTAATAAAGAACAAAGTCAGACAATGTAATATTTGAAAGAAGTGGCTATTGTAGCACCCTTAATCATTTGACTAACAAGAGAAAATGCAGAGTCAGGCCAGAGTCCTACATAAAATGGAATTCTTATAGAAGAGAATGCGAGTTTCCTCCTCAGCTGAAGTATATGCATTCATCCTTGATTAGAGTAACCCAGAGGTATCCAATCTTGGCAACTTTAAGACTTGTGGACTTCAATATTCATGTCCCATAGTCCCATGTCTATAAGTCTTAAAGTTGCCATGGTTGCACACTCTTGGGCTAGATTGAATTGAAGATGGCTATTCTCATTGTAATCCGTATCCATGCCCATCACCTGACTTACCTCAAGGTAATCAATAGCTAAGCCTAACAAATTTTACATACCTTGAGGCTATTCTTGGGCAATATGATAACAATGGTAAAAACTATCTTAACTTCTTTAACATATTTATTCCAGTGTTAAGGATTACTTAAGCCTGTCTCACTCATGATTGGTAAGAGAGAACGCAATGTCATGAGGACAAAATA